AAGCTTCTATTAGTTTACTTTTTTCTCTAATTTTCCGAATATATTTTTTACATATATAAAACGGTTAGTTTTTATTGGAAAGTAGTTAATGTAGGTGAAGAGTGAAGATCTATGTCTGAAGTGCTATTGCAGCTTTTCACTGAACATATTAACTTTTTATTTGATTTAACTTTAGAAGAAAACTTCGTCGACTCCATCAAAAAAATTTTTACTTTTTGAACGTGTTTATTATTTTAATAAACAATTTTACAATTTGCGTGCACAGTTCCTATGTAAATTTTTCCCTCATTCGAGTTATAAATTTTGCCACCAGATGGTGTATGCCCATTTGACGGATCCCAATAGTATAGTGAATATACAGTATACTATAATATATGAGATATCGGTCACTAATAGTCGACTGTAATACCGATATGCGCATGCGCGCCTTTCTATTCTCATAGCCTATCGCGTCGCGAGACAGAACGTTGCAAAACGTGTCGTTTCATTGCCTTGATATTTTACTCGCATCGAGCCCAAAGAAGTTTCACTTCAAAAGTTTTCACAAAAAATCCGATAACCGACAAGGTCATAATTACAGGGCGAGGTCGAATTGTCACCCGAACGTAGCAGATAGATAAATCGGAGGGCGGATTGATTCCCTTAAGGGGCGACTTGGGCCCCGCTCTGAATGGGGGGTTGTTTATGGAAGCCAATTATATTTATAGATGTATATTCCAAGATAATATAAATATTAAACATTATTATGTGTATTATTTACACCTTTATCAAAATTAGAAGCTTTAAGGTGTCCTCGGTACAGAGAATGAAAAGTGAAGGAGGTAATGGATGCGAATCTTTTTATTTAAAACTAGTTTTTTCCCGCGGGTTCGCTCGCAGAAATTATTACTGTTTCTCCGTAAAACCTTTTAACTCCCAATTCAACCTTACAACGTTTTAATTTTATGTAATGTCACTATCTTAGATTTCAAATACAAACGTAGCAACAACATTTATTCCTTAAGGGTTGATTTTTAAAAACTGCCAAAACACGTATTTGCTTGATTTCAACAATGAGCAACCTTCGAGTAAATCCTAGTACAAGTAAAATATACCCCATGGAAACGTTGCAACCTCTTTTCATTTGATTAATAATATCAAACACCATACATACCAAGTTTCAAGTAAATTCAATCACAAATAAAGTATGTCCCAAACAAAAATTACAACACCTTTTTATCCCCCCCCCCCTTTGGAGGTTGAATTTTTTAAAATGTCGAGATAGGTCTTTCAGAAATTAAATGAGAG